GCTGCAAACAGGACCAGTTGTTTTCCAGTCAGATATGAAACATTCATGGAGTCCCAAGAGAAAAGAATGCATTGAAAAAGAGAATGTGAATGCCACATTGCATTTCACAGAGTACTTCATGCAGAAAACCCAAGCAGGATGTACAGGAACAGCAGGCTGCTGTAGGTGATGGCACTGGAACAGCTGTTTGGGGCTGACATCAGAGCTTTATCAGAATGGGTGATCAGCACCATGGAAATCAGAAACCTACCTGATACCCACTCAGAATTTTCCTAAACAGGGTTTTACTTCAATATTTGCTATTCTTTGTTCAGCTTTAGTCAAAGCTCTTTGTTGTAAATAGTGACAGTTTCCAGTCAGAATCTTTATTATGTCCAGTGAGCAGTGGTAAGGTGCACTCATACACATGGTCTGATGTCAGGAATTCTGCAGACCAAAGTTTCTTTCTCAAAAGAAATCATTAATTTGAAAGTGAAATCCAAGAATATTACATAGCATTTAGTTATACAGGTTCATGAATGAAAGAAAGAGTATTTATCTCATATATAAGCATTAATACCACTTTCTGGGAAAGGTTTTTTTTTTTTTTTCTTCAGAAAATCCATCTCTATGGGTATTACAGAATTGGGAGGACAAAAGGCAGGAACTGCTCTAGTGCCATTGTTACTTTGATCATCTTAGCACACAAAACTGAGTTGTGTGACTGTAATGATGGATTTTTTTTTTTTTGGCTAAAGCAATAATATGGAAATACTTAGAAAATACACCTCAAAATAATATTGTCCTCAAAGTGCACACTTAAGGGAGTTGCTTCCGTATTTTAATGCTGTATATAGTATCTGTTAAACTATTGAGTCCTTGAAATTATACAATCAACTGAGGAAAATTGGTGTCATCAAAGTCATACTTTGTGTTTGACTACAGGTTTTTGGTCTTTTGTTGTTGTTTTGCTACTGGCTGGTTTTGTGTGTCAACTTGACATAAGCCACAGTCATCAGAGAGGAAGGAGGCTCAGTTGAGCAAATGCCTCCGTGAGATCCAGCTGTAGGGTATTTCTCAATCAATGTGGGAGGGCCCAGCCCATGTGGATGGAGCCATCCCTAGGCTGGTCCTGGGTTCTATTAGAAAGCAGGCTGAGTAAGCCAGTAAGCAGTACTCCTCCATGGCCTCTGCATCAGCTTCTGCCTCCAGGATCCTGCCCTATTAGTTCCTGTCCTGACTTACATCAGTGATGAACAACACTGTCGAAGTGTAAGCCAAATAAACTGTTTCCTCCTCAGCTTGCTTTTTGGTCATGGTGTTTCATCACAGCAATAGAAACTCTAACTTAGAAAATAATTCATACACAAACTTTTTTTCCCCAAGACAGGGTTTCTCTGTGACTTTGGAGGCTGTCCTGGAACTAGCTCTTGTAGGCCAGGCTGGTCTGGAACTCACAGAGATCCGCCTGCCTCTGCCTCCCAAGTGCTGGAACTAAAGGCGTGCGCTACCACCGCCCAGCTTCTTTTATATTTAAATAATGTAATTATGTAATTTCCTCCTTACTTTCTTCCCTCCAAACCCTACCGTGTACTCCTCCTTGGTGTCTTTCTAATTCATGGCCTCTTCTTTTTTGCTTCCATGAACTGTTGTTACATACCCATATGTATATACATTTATACTACTAAACACAACCTGCTCAGTCAGTATAATGTTACTTGTGAGTTTCCAGGGATCATTTGGTATTGGGTAACCAGTAGGTCAGATCTCCCTGGGGTTCTCCCACCCAATGTTTAACTGCCTGTAGTTCTCAACCTGCAGGGTTGAGAACTTGTGGACTTACCCCAACCATGATAGCATGCATGTCCATTGCTGTTGTCCTTGTTCAGCTCATGTGTAGGCAGTTATGTTGGTGAGACTATGGGTACAGCTTCTGACATTCCTAGGAAACATGCTCTCAATGGTAAACTGATCCTCTGGCTCTTAGACTCTTTGCATCCCCTCCCGTAGTGATCCCTGAGCCTTAAGTGTGGGAGTTATTTTATACATTTATCCATTAGGTCTGGGCTCTACAATTGAGCATATGATTGGTTGTGGTTTTCTGTAACAATATCCTTCTGATTCAAAGAGAAGTTTCCTTGATGAGGGGTGAGGATTACATTTACATGTATGTGGGTCCAAAGATAAATATTTAGAATGTAGTTAGGGGTTTTGATGGTTTACTAAAGTGGTAGTTGTAGGTTCTCCTCCAAGATCATGACTTTACTATCACTAGTCCTGAGTAGTTGGCTAGGTTTCTGGTACCAGACATGGTATCTTTCTTGTCGAGAGGGTTTTAAGTCCAATTAGCTTACTGGTTACATCCAGGGTATGTGTACCACTATTGCACCCTTAGGGTAGTAGTGCCATGTTAGTCATTGTTGTGGTGCATAGGTGTTTATCTGGGTAGGACTATTGTTTTCTTTTTTGCAAGTTTGCATGGTGCCCTTTGAACCATGAAAACCAGTTCTTAGAGAGGAGGCTTTCAAAACAGTTCCATCTCAGGGTTTCTGGGCACTGCATCTTCAGCAATATGGACTTATTTTCTACCTATGAGGAGCAATCAGTGTTAATAGCAGTAACATGTAATGTTTTGGGTCTCTTGCATAACTATGCTCTGACTCAAAAGAGGGCTTCTCAGGACTAGTGTTTTCATTTTTGTTAGATGATCTTTGGCTTTGGGGGGCAGCATTATCGGCCCAGATGGGAGAATTTCATTTAAATTATATAGTACTATTTCATACTTAATGTGTACCAAATTTTCATTATCTATTCATTGGTTGTTGAAGGGAAAGCTGCCTGTGGAATTGTCGTAGTGTTTACTATTCCTGTGAAGAGATACCATGACCATGGTAACTCTTTTTGTTTGTTTGTTTTTCGAGACACGGTTTCTCTGTGGCTTTGGAGGCTGTCCTGGAACTAGCTCTTGTAGACCAGGCTGGTCTTGAACTCACAGAGATCTGCCTGCCTCTGCCTCCCGAGTGCTGGGATTAAAGGCGTGCACCACTAACGCCTGACCATGGTAACTCTTTCTCTTAGTTTCAGAGGCTCAGTCCATTAGGATCATGATGGCATAGTGCAGGCAGTTGTGGTGCTGGAGTTGAGAGTGCTTCATCTTGCAGGCAACAGGAAGTCGACTGCTTGTCACACTGAGGGAATCTTGAGAAAGAGACCTCAAAGCCTGCCCCCACAGTGACACACTTCCTTCAACAAGGCCACACTTCCTTCAACAAGGCCACACATCCTATAATGTCACTCCTTTTGGTGGCCGTTTTCTTTCAACCCACCACAGGAATGATTTCTAATAGTGTAAATAAATACACCTCCCCTAAAATCAATTTTGAAAGAGGACTAATTAACTATTAAAATTATGCTTATAAATATGTGTAATTAACTATCTATTTAGATGTTTGGGAATAAGGGATTAAGCATCCAACTATAAAGATCAGACAAAGACAAAGCCAACTTGTTGAAAGATGAAGTTTTGGTATTATTGGGATATAACATTTGAGACAGTAAAAGTCTGTAACTCTAAAATGCCCCTTATACTAGTACTGAACTTATTAGTCTAAATTCAATCCAAGCAGGCTGATATCAAGTGAATTTAGTGTGAGGCTATGATGAACAGAACTGTATGGATTGTTGCCACCAGCTTTTCCCTAATATTGTGTGAAATACTAAGTATCCTATAGACTGGTGTTTTGTGTTTATTTAAACTTGTCTCTTGGGCTGGAGGGAAGGTTCAGTACATAAAGCACTTGCTGTAAAAGCTTCCGACTGGAGCTCAGAACATCTAAAATCTGGGTGAGCATAATGAGGCATGGAGATAGGGAATCATGGGAGGAAGTTGGTTGACCAGACTAACTGAACTGGTGAGCTTGAAGTTCTGCAAGAGGTAATGAGGTAGAGAGTGAGAGAAGACACCCAGTGTCAACCTTGGGTGCCTTAACATGCATGCACACATTATGTGTCCACACAGGTGCATATATATGTAACAAACATTATTACATACTGCATTAAAGACAGGTTCTGGGGCCATCAAGTGACTTAGCAGGTACAGACACTTGCCATCAAATCTAGCAAACTGAGTTTAACTTCCAGGGCCCATATGGTGGAAGGAGAAAACTGGCAAACCGCCCTCTGACTTATACATACACACCATGGCATGAGTGCATTCCCTCCCCTTCCCCTCAAACACTGTAAAACAAAGGCCTGCTTGTAGGACAGAGTGGACACCCATTCAGCCGTCACCTTCAGTTCTGCTAAAATAACATTCGCTACAAACCAATGTTACCAGCCGTCTAAGTCTGCTTTCTGTTGCTGTGATAAAGACAATGACCTCCGGTTGTGGTGACACATGCCAGTAGAATTTGCTGAAGGAGGCAGAGAATCATGAGTTTGAGACCAGCCTGGGCTACACATTTTGCCAGGTGGTAGTGGCACATTGTTAGGCAGAGGCAGGTGGATCTCTGAGTTCAAGGCCAGCCTGGTCTACAGAGCCAGGGCCAGGACTAGAAAGAGAAAACCAGTCTCAAAAAAAAAAAAAAAAAAAAAAAAAAAAAAAAACCCAAAAGAAAAAAAAAAAAGACCATGAACAAAAGCAACTTGGGGAGGAAAGGATTTATTTGGCTTACCTACCCGGGTTACAGTATGCTGAGAGAATGTGAGGCAGGAATCTGGAGGAAAGAACTGAAGTACAGACTGTGGAGAAGTACTGTTTATTGGCTTGCTCTTCTTATACATGCTGGGATCACCTGCCCAGGGTGAAACCACCCCCAGTGTGCTGGAACCTCCTACATCAGCCATTAATCAAGAAAACACACTACAGACTTACCCACAGGCCAGCCTGATGGCAGCATTTTGTCAGTTGAGGTTCCCTTTTACCTAGATGACTTGAGTGGTGTCGAGTTAAGAAGCAAGGCAGCTAGCACACTGGCATGGTCTTTTATACCACTCAATAATACTCTTTTTTTCCCTTACAGTTTCTTTCTTCAGTCATCACGATGGTTCTTCTGACGATTTTGAGTGTCACACTGAACCCTCCCCAGAAACTACCAGACTTGTTTTCTGTACTGGTGTGTTCTGTGTCCTGTATAAACTTCATTTTCTTCTTGGTGTACTTTAACATTGTAATCGTGTGGGATTCCAAAAATGGGAGAAATCGGAAGAAAATCAAATAGCTGTTTTCCCAAACAAATGCAGTCTTTTGATTTGTATAAGCAAGCATACATCTTTAGAATCATGGTGTCATAGGAAAAGAAATGGTCAATGCCTATTGTTATCTATACAAATTGTGTATGGACCAAAGCATTTGTTATTTTATATATTTTTTTGTTAAAGCATTCTGTAATTTTGTTAATATTCTCAGATATTTAAATGATAAGAGAAAAAAAGTGTCCCAACTGGTTGTGGTAGCTCACATCTATAATTAGTGGCAGGAGGACCTTGGTTCAAGGTCATCCTTGTTTACATAGAAAGTTTGAGGCTAGCCTGGGTTACATGAGACTCCTGTCTCAACAAAAAAGGGAAAGAAAAAAAATGTCCTTAATGCCAATGTCTGATAATGGAATATATTCTAAAGATTATGGTTTTTAAAAATTGCAAATATAGTGACTTTGTTTAAGAATTAAGCTTCTGTCTTGTTGGAGTAATAAGTAATAAACATCTTATTTAAAGATGTATCTCAGGGAATTAACTTTTTTTTCAATTACTGAGAAGGTGTATTATACTGCTTGAAATTTGAATATGCACTATTACATATGCAAAACTGGCAGCCAATAGATATTCTTGTTTCCAAGAATGTTGTATCACTTGATTCCATTTTTTAAAAAAAACTTTATTGAATGTGATCATGCCTTCTGTTGGCTTTGTCCTATAGATTTGGTTTGCCCTTCCCCTGTGCTTATTCTTGTCTCAACTGGCAAAAATCATGTATTATGTTTCACTTTCTCATGGAAATCTGTTTTAGTCTCAGATAAAAATTAAAGTCACTTTACCACTAGTCCATTTTGAGTATATTTCTTTTATAATATATTCATCAATTAAGTCACTAAATAGCATATTCTAAAGTAGTATAAAGGATTGGTTCTGGATATGGCTAGCCATAGGCTGATGAAGAAAATGTGTACTTCTCAGTCTGATAAAGGAAGTTGGTGTAGACAAAGCGAATTTGTGCAAGGATTCCAAGTGCAAGATCAGCACAGCGAAGCAGCCTTGGTGACTATTCATGGCCACTGTTTGCACCCTTGGGCCCGCCTGACAGAATTTTGGCTGGCTGGCTTAACTTTAACTCTTATTTTTTTAATAACATATCTTATTTTAATACAGAAATGCTGATTTCCATTAATGACAAAGCTCTAACTTCTCAGAATTCAGTAGAGCAACCTTATTACTCAAAAATAAATGTAATTAACAGTATAACATAATGCTAGATTTAGTGTTTCTTACCTGTCAAAAAATGAGGAGTTCCATGTTTTTTTTCAGATACATTTTAGAGTGAAGAGGCATTTTTGAGAAATGTAGTTCTCTCCACTGCTAATGCATGTGGGGTTGCTTCTTAAGGCAAGAAGAGAATAGGGTATGTGTTCATGTGCCACATGAAGCTCACCAGAATCTTTATCCTTTGAGGCCTTAGGGGGAGGGGCAAGAGTCTGTCCAAATCATAAACCCTAGTAAGGGAGCAAGACACGCACAAAGGTGCTATAGGAAGGACAAAAGACGGACAGGTTACAGCTAAGAAAATGGCTAGAGGAACACAATGATTCCAAATCTCAATTGGTTTCTTTTTTGTTCACTGGAATATCTGGGCCTGGTACATCCCTACCCCTCCCCCCATATAAACATTAGTTTTGTGTGTGGATCTTTCTGCTTCGTCCTTCATGTGGCCTCTAAGGGTGATAAAGCGAGAGTCATCTGATCTACAATGAAGAGAACTGGGAAATGATTCTCAGAAGACCCAGCTGTTCTGAAAGGCAAGTGCTCAGTACACCAAGAGGTCAAACACACAGTAACTGCAAGTAACATATGTCTGTGCAACTCACTACATGCGAAACCAATCTACTGCTTAACCCTTTGTTTTCTAATGCAGGGTACTCTATAAAATGTTTTCCCTTGTGCCCTAGTTTTCAATGTTAGAACAGCAATCTATATTAGTATATTTTTGGTAACATATTTGAAGGATTATATCAAAAAGTACCCTTGATATTTAGCAGACAGATATTCAAAATATCCTACTTAAGGCAATTAGGTTGAATGGTTGATTGAACTACTACTACTTAGTACCTATTGCCATTTATAGTAATAGATTTTTTAAAAAACACCTTACGGCTGGGCGTTGGTGGCGCACGCCTTTAATCCCAGCACTAGGGAGGTAGAAGCAAGCGGATCTCTGTGAGTTCGAGACCACCCTGGTCTACAAGTGCTAGTTCCAGGACAGCCTCCAAAGCCACAGAGAAACCCTGTCTTGAAAAACAAAAAACAAAACAAAACAAAAAAAAGAAAACCTTTACTTTATCAATCTGAAATGTTTCTAAGTGGAAAATGAGTTCTTTTCAATCTTGATTCTTGTTTCACATTTTCATACAAGATTTTTAATTTCTTTCTTTTTTTTTTTTTTCAGACAGGGTTTCTCTGTGTAGCTTTGGAGTCTATCCTGGCACTTGCTCTGGAGACCAGGCTGGCCTTGAACTCACAGAGATCCGCCTGCCTCTGCCTCCCGAGTGCTGGGATTAAAGGCGTGCGCCACCGACGCCTGGCCAAGATTTTTAATTTCAAAGCAATACCAAGTCAAGCTAATGCGTCAGATGATGAGGAAAGGGTCACATTCTGCCCTATAGTAAAGGTCTTTCCTTTAAACTTACTCAAGTCTGAATCTAGTTCATAACCAACTTAATATTTAAATGTCTGTTCTGAAAATTCATTCCAGTGTTTTCTAAATGTGTCAAATCTTAAAATGTTCACAATAATTTTCCCTGAGCAGAGACAACTGTCCCTAGGGTGGAACAGTGCACACCTGAGACACCAGTTCCACAACATACTACAGAGTTTCAATAAACATAAAATGGCCTGTAAATTAATAAGTAGCCGGAACTTTCCATGGGAAAGCTGTATCCTGGCTCGCCGGGTGTATTGGGAGTTTCAGTAATGGACTTTGTAGAGGATGTTACTCTACAAAGGTAGAGTCAATTCTATTCACAAGTGTTAAAAGTAGACGGACACATAGGTGAGACACAGTGTAAGTCAGTCAGGACTCTCCTGTACTGCAAGGCTTACATTAAAGGGTCAAAAAGAAATGTATTATTTACATTGAGATTTTCTAGTGGTGTGTGTAGAAAGTTTAAATTAGCTGCAAGAAATTTTATCTAGACTTGCACCTGCCTAGTGCTACAAGTTGGTATTTACTGGGCAGATTAATTACACACATTTCTTCTGTGTCTTTAAATATGATCAGGCAGATGCGGACACTGTTCACTGTGAGTGCATTTCTTCTAAGTGCCTTTGGAATATAGAAGATAGTTATTACATCATCACGAATTAGTTTCCAAATTAACATACATCTCATACGTCACTTAAGTGGTTTAAATGTTATTTGCTGTGTAATTTGGTGCCTACTCCATATACTGGTGAGCTCCCATTTGCTTACTTTTGAGTATTCTGTGTGAGATACACCTTCACAAATTAGTTTGGCTATTCTGACAGCACTTTTTATTTTCCATGAAGAAATGTGAGAAATACTTTTGAGAGAATTTTGATACTTGAGCATGACCCACTGAAAACACAATTTAGATGCCTTTGTCTACATGCCTTAAGGGACTTCCAGCAGGTGCTTCCTAGAACAGCTGCCAAGAAGGGAGTGTGTGGTGACTGTGACAGATTCCTACTCAGTGTGTCCCACTGGGGACTCCTAGTGGTGACAGAGGATCTTATTTAGACTTTGGAGCACTGTGTCAGGGAAGATACTGGCAACTGATGAAATAAACCTTGTGGAAGGCATGTGACTCTTCCTCCCTGTGCTCACTAGCATTAGAAGTCATCAAGAGTGGTGGGCTTGGGAGATGGCTCAGTGGGAGAACCTGCATTTGGATCCCTAGAACCCATCTGAAGCCAGAGGCAGCAGCATGCATCTGTACGCCCATCACTCACTGGGAGCTCCCAGGCCAGCTAAGTTGGTGAATACATTGGTGAATAAGAGACCCTGTCTTAAGGTGGAAGATGGGCTGACACTGGAGGACCTGTACCATGGTTAATATATCCCGCCCCCCCTTACACACACAGCATACAGGCCTACTCACAAGAGTTTTGCATAAAAAGGCAGTGTATAATGGATTCCTTTATTTTTTTCCTATTTAGAAAAATTCACAAATACTTAACTTTCACTGACTCTTCATTTCAGTCTGGACTGCATTCTTCCCGGTTGACTAATGCACAGTTGTCAGACTTGAAGGGAACACTATAAAGGAGAGAAAAAGCTCTTATTAAAATGTTACCATGGGGGGGACGCTAGTTAGGCTAAGTATGCAATTTACTCTCACAAAATAGGGTCACAAGCCCTATTTATAATCTATGAATAGGGTTATAGCTAGGTAGTAGAGTTAGCATTGAACATCTTTGAATTTTAAAAAAATTATTTTTTTGTAATACCAGACACTGCAAAGCTTTCATCAGCTGACCCTGATTGTTGGGAGAACTAATGAAAAAGATTTTGAGGTCAAATCCAGGACCAAGCAGAAAGTTTAGTTATCGTACAACAGGTAATAGCAATATTCCTCCTTCATGGCAACAATATATTCTAAGGGATACTTCAGATACTTGCTGAACTAATAATCTTTGCAGCTGGGCTGTCTCTGAATGAGACTGGTGACTGTCTGCATTACCCTGAACCCTTCCTTAGTCTCACTTTCTGATATTTTGTGCTTATGTAGGCATATTTATATAGCACATCAAAAATACCCATGTTTTAAAGCCAGGTATATTTAGTACATGCTTGTCATTCCAGCACTTAGGAAGATGAGGGAGGAGGATTGGAGTCAGGCCTGGCTATATTAGTGGAACCCTGTTTTAAAGGAGAAACAAAGAGCAGGTCTTCTACCTGGTAAAGTACATGGCACCTGTTAATAGAATGTAAATGGCTCCTGGACAGAGATAATGTAGGATGGTCCCTCCCCACCTGTAACACATACTTGCTCTCTGTAAAGCCCAGGTATATACTTCAGCCTCCCATGCACTGGGATTACAGCTGTGTGCACCACGCTGGGCTAGAGTTGGTGTAAAGTCCCCTGGTCTCTAATTACCTTGCCACACTTTCCTGAGTCCATCTGTCTGTGGTGAGCTTTCTAACCCTGCATTCTCTTCACTAGCACTCACAGCAGAAAGCAATGTTTATTTATTATCAACTATTCCTCACTCAACACCTCATGAAAGGCATAATCCAGAACATTTTCTGGCCTACATTTTATGGATATTATAGGTCATTAATTTTTACACACCATTCTTTCCCATGTGTAGTTTCACTGTCACTTCCTAACTCAAGTTCATGGGCCTTTGTGTCTCCTAGCTGCATGTGGTCAGGAGAGTAACTTGTCCTCACCTGTCCAGTTCATGAACAGAAGGCAGTCTGTGGTCTTCACAGACTTAGCAACCAAGCTTACCCCTCAGGTTGGGAGCAGTGCACAGAGTTCAGGGTTAGACACAGTGTGGATTCTAGTTCTGCTTTAAGGCCCGGTCCATGTTAATAACTAACTTTTTTGTGCCAGAGGGCTTGTCCTAAGGGACATCTATTTCTCCAGGCTGACACTTTGATCCTCATCAGAGTCACAGTTTTTGTGCAATGGGCCAGAATCCTAGAAAGTTTGAACTTGCATGATTTAGTATAGCTCAAAATTCTGTCTCCACATCTGAAGTGCTGCTAGATCATGTCACTTCTGAATGTGTTTTGTGTTTTTTAAGCCAGGCTGAGTGATGAAATATATACTTGAGACAGCGCAGCAGCTGAGACTAAGTCTGTGGTTCACCCTTGGAATGGAAGCCCTCTTCATGAGGTGAGGGCCAGCATTTTCATCATCTCATCCATGCCTCCAACAAGGCATATTCCACCTAGTAAACTACGGAACACATCAAACCATGCCATACTGATAGTTTATATGCTACAAAACAGTAATGGCTTTAAAGGGAAGCTATAACTAATTAATTAAAACTTACACTGTAAGTTAAATGTTTTTGCATGAACAAAACAGTGAAAGTTAGCAATGTTAGCTGAGTTAGAAAAGCAAGACATTACCTCAGTTCAAAATGGCTTTCAAGAATTCAAAGCTGTCAAGATGATGTTCTATATGAAAAAAGAGAATTTTTTTTTTCAGAAAAGAGTTCAAAATAACTTGCCACACTATATGATACAAAGTAAAAATTGAATCAAGTGAAACTAAAATACACCGAAGTTAGGGGCTGGAGAGATGGCTTAACAGTGAAGAGCACTTACTGCTCCTGAGGACCCAGGTTTGGTTCTCAGCACACATACAGCAGCTTACATCTATCTACAACTCCAGTTTTAGGGGATCTGATGCCCTTTTCAGTACTCTCCATGGGTACTGCATGCATGTGGTGCATTCACATACACGCAGGAAAACATCTATACACATAAAATAAAAATAGATCATTTTTATTTCAACTTCTTAGAGGTTAGTTCTGGTCCTACTTCAGAATATATATTTTAAAATTACAATAGCCAAGGTATTTGTTGTATGCCTTACACATTATACCATTACAAAGAGTATCAATATGTAATGCTATTGTTGTTAATACTTTCATGCTCTTGAGCTGGAATCTATACTCCTGAGAGCAGGACAATGTCTGTCTTGTTTTGTTGGTATCTCTAAGGTCAGAAGACTATAATAGGCATTTGTAAACATTTAATTAATGAGGTACATGAAGAGGGCAATCATAAGCATTTGAACCATTAATACCAACACTTGGGAGGCAGATGCAAATGGATCTCTGAATTTGAGGCCAGCCTGGTCTACATGGCAAGTTCTAGGCTAGCCAGGACTACACAGTGAGACCTCATCCAAAATAAATCAATCAACCAATTCAACAAAACCAAAAAAAAATTAAGTGTTTGAAAATGCTTAGATAATTCTTGGAGTCAGACAATGCTACTGTTGTGCTACGAGGTTTCTACCTCGGATTGGTAATATTTTAAAATATTACCAATAGACTAGGCATTTGTCCATCCACTGGGCTATATAAAGGACCTTTAATCTGGGTTCTCTGTAGGTGCTCTACTGCAGCACACTCAGGCCCACCAAAAGGCCGGGAATCTAGAGTGATGATACACTACACAAACACAGTTAACAGTAACTAACACACTGATAAGTACTATGGGAGCCTACAACATGAAGCAATTGTGCTTCACCTGGGAGAAGGGGGAGCTTCACAGAGGATGGGCCACTGGGACAGACAACAGTTAGACAGGCAGGAGCGGAGAAAGCAATCTGGTAGAAGGAAAGCGGCAGAGGGGCCCAGGCATTCCAGTGGGTTGAAACTAAGTGTGAATACAAATGACCTCCTTTCTCTTTTGAGTCTGTGATGGAAAGCAAACCACCTAACACAATTAGCTATGTAATAGTGTAAATATACTTTGTTACATATGTGTCTAATTTTTATGTATGCCACTTAGCAATTTAATGAGAGTCTTGGGGATGGGGTGAGTTTTTCTGATGGCTTCTTAGGGTTAAAATGGAACTTGTTCACCTGTCAGGTGACAAAAAACCAATTTCTATAAATGTGCCAGGATAATTCTTCTCCTCCTCAAGAACAGCCAGTTCTCGGTCTATTCATTACTGTCTTTTTATAGTATTTTTATTTAATAAAACCTATTAAGGCTACCATACAAATCTCTTTACTTATGCCTTTATCTTTTAACTGATCAATTTTTATATTGCTGACATCCCTTCTTCACCATTTGTTCATTTAAAAATTCAGAGTATGTGAGCTATGTCTCCGGGGAAGTGTCTATAAAATTTGTTACAGCTGGCAAATGTGTATGAGTCAGTGATAGCACATGACTAAATGCTTCACAGAAAATAAAATTTGTTTCTGTAGTAAGCAGAACTGTTTAAATGTTATTTATTTTTATGTTTCAAAGAAAATATATTGTGAAGTGCTGCATTGATTTAAAAGGCAACAATGTCTGTGTACACGCTGTAGAAGGGAAATTTATGAAACCTTTGCACAACTCCTTTAATTGAATTTTCCAAATCTCTCACCACACACAAATAATCAATATCTTCTGCAGAGAAAACGAGTCAGAATTATTACAGTCTTTCTTTTCAATTTTGTTGTCATCAGCACATAAGAACACCTGGATATTTGTACTGTCTGCTTGCAAGATATTTACACCTTTTAAACACATAATTGCTATTAAGTGAGTCCAAATGTATAATTTTAACATTTGCTACAGATTTTTTTTCAAAAGGAAAATTATTATACTTTACGTAAAGCACAAAAATTTAAATCATGGAAGAAAATTATGTAAAAGACTTTGAAAAGTAATAAACCTGTTTGGTTTTCTTAAATCCAAGACAAATCTTAAGTAGGCATTTTCAGCAGTTGGTAGAACTCCCCTAACAGTGATGACTGGCATAAAATAAGAACATTAACATTATCAACAGTAGAGGTCTGACCCATACAGCATGCACAACAGATAAAGGGCTGAGGGCTGCAATGTACACTAATGTGTATATGTGGTACAAAATTAACAGCTATCTCCAAAGAAATCTAAAAAAGCAACATGGGGGGATTTTTAAGAGACTCAGATGAGTGCTTTTAAAACTGAAGTATCTGGCAAGAAAAAAAAAAAGATATTTATTAAGATGACAAGCCAAAAGAGTAGTAGTCTTCAGGAAGTAAAATTATTTAACCAATATGATGAATACTTTTTCAAGAATGAGTTGAGAGAAGCAAAACATATTTTTGTTAAAAAAAAAAAATACCTCAGTGGTGGCTAGAATGAAAAGGCAATGCCACATCAAACTACTTTACAGTGTCAGTACAAAAGGGGTTTCAACTTGTCATGCAGCCTAAAGAATGTGATAACTTCACAATTCTATAACCAAGATGAATTTTACAATGGAAGTTAACTAAAGAAAACAGTCTATGCTTCTTTCAAAAGACCAGAGCTAGAAGTTCTGAAATAGTTTCTATTACAAATAGCTGAAACAATCAACTTTTTTGAACATTGTAAAGTTCAGATGGTTATACTGCATTTGAAATATGCATTCTGCAACCTACACAATTATTCTCAAAACATAAAATATGTTTTGGACTGAAACTAAGTGTCTTGATTTCTTATCTTGGCAACTGGTCTACAATTTGCTTACATTATTTTCAAAACATTTTGTTTACTGGAATTCCTAGACACAGACAAACAATGGTGGCATTTTTTAATATCTCTAGAAAAAATGAAAATGCCAAGTACTACATAATGCCATCTATTGACTAAGGGATATTTGTGTGAGGTTGTTTTTAGTAGAGGTTGGTTGTAAAAAGCAAATACATTTCATGCCTTACCATGTGATGACAGTGTGACATTCCATCTGTTTCAGCCCACTGAATAGTCAGATGTTTTAAATCTTAAGCGTAACGAATTTAAAATAATTATGAAAATTCACATTCAAATCTAACAGAAAAGAAATCTTTCACTTCATTATTATCCTAATAGTCATAAAGCCAATATTATTAAGGAAAGTGAAGTTCGTCTTATATCCTAAGTTACCAAAAGAAGCATTCCTTTGTTCAAGAACCTTGGGTTTAGCAGAGGAGTGAGTGCCTGCTACTCACATTCTAAGAAGGCATTCTGACTCATAAGGTCTTATGAGAAGCTTAGTGACCCCTTCAAGTTATTGGGGATGTTTTACATCTCTCTTAGTTACATGAAGCATTCACAGAATATGTCAGGTGCCTGTTTACTTAACCCTGGAGTGCCATCCTTCTTCCTGCAGTAGCAGCAGCTGCATGTGGTGCTGAGGGAAGGGAACAAGCACCAAGTGAAAGAGTAAAAGACCAATTTGAATGGTCAATGGCAGTAGAAATGTTGCAAAATTCTCCTGCAAGAGCTTATTTTAATTATTCTAGGAAACCTTTAGAAGAAACTTAAGGCTAAGAAGAATTACCACCATCATCCTAAATGGCCACCTTAGAGACGTGCTGTTGATAGTGAAACAAGTGACTGGCCTACTCCCACTTTTATGATTACAAGAATGAAACAAATTTAGTATACAGCATAAGGGCTGATTCAACGAAACTATTTCTGATGTTAAATCTGGATAGTAATAGAAATAAGTAAAATAGAAAACATTAAGAATCAAAGCACAATTTCCAAGGGAACATACAAAGCAGAGCAGTCTTAGATGTTACAAAATTACCAAATGCTTCTTAAGATCAGTATGTGACAAGAAGAGGTGAGAGTTGTTAATCTAGCAAAAAAAATCTCTCTGTGTGTATGTATTTGTGTTTGTGTGTGTGGCATCTTTAAATAACAAAAAGACCAAATTGAAAATATGCATAGCAGGAACTAGAGGAAGCAGTAGGGAAAGTATCAGTGAAATGCAGCCGCTCAAATTTAAATCACACAAGAAGCAAGTTTTCATATTTGAAAAGTGAAGAACTTTTAGTACCTCAGAAGATAGAAAGAGCTAATGTAGCTTGTGCCATATAAAATGGAGGCTTATCAATACAAATACATGATCTATATAGTATATAAGAACAACACATAGTGGTATATGTTGTGGGGACTCATTTAGCCTTTGGGGTACTGGCCCATTAAGGCATGATCTAATGTGCTGCATGGGAATGGATAAGGGGGAGCAGAAGTGCATTCTTGCTCTCTTGGGTGACAGTCACAGATAAGATGGCAGTTTCCAGCGCCTCTGGGCAGAAGACCACTGCAATTCACTACCATATTTGTCATTCGTGAGTGGCTCCCCAATAAATACCTGACTTCCCTTTATTCTGGGCTCTCATGACTCTATTAAAATCATCCATTACAGGTATATAAAATGAAAAAGGTTTTAAAATTAATCTCTTATTTATTCTGTAACAAGTAACTAATGCCTCTAGTTCCTGCTATGCAGGAAATTTCAGAACATGACACATTTTTTTCTATGAATGAAAAAAACCTAACCCTGTAAGAGCCTGGTAATGGACAAGTCAGTCTGGACATCTATAAATAAAATAGAATAACTACAAAGTTGGTCTTGCATAAATTCACAAAGAATTGAAGTACAGTGGATAACAGAAAGGAATGGCATATTATAAAAAGCCCCCTAAAAGATTTTAGTGAAGCATGAATACTTTCAGAAAATGTTCTTTAGAATATTTGAGGGCTAGTGAGATGGCTCAGCTGCCAAAGCCTGACAACTTGAGTTTGATCCTCAAGAGCCACATGACGGAGAGAACCGATTCCTCTAATTTGCCTATTGACTCCTACAAGTGTGTCATGGCATACCTCCCAATAAATAAATTAAATGTAATCATTTTGTCAACTAATTACCTGAGATTTTTTTCTTCATTTCCCAAGTTTGGTAAATGCCAATTTTAATTATTAATAGTTTAGGAAAGTATGAATTTAAAAATTATATCATCGACACAGAAGATGGAGACTTCTTCCAATTGGAAAATAATAAACACATAAATGTCACAATCTAAATCTTGTCAAGTTAGGAAAGCAAAACAGTGACACATTTCAATAAAGTTCTGAAGAGCTAAAGTAGGAGAGAAGAGACCCCAATCTCCATCTACGTAATAGTACAAGTGAGGGGTGCAGGAGCTGACTTTACCTTTCTCTACAACAGCTTTGGAGGTATCTTGCCATGGCTGGTACTCTTGGGTAATACTGCAGGCCTCTGTATCTGACTGGAATCTTTTATAACTACTGGAGGTTACTGTTTAAGTCCCAAGTCCAGTCAAACAGATGAGTTGACCCAGTGTCAGTTATATTAATGTATAATCTGAAAGTTGGGGTGACCAGCTGACTTCACTTATTTTGGGAAGAAACATGAAATCATGGAAAGGCCTTATTTTGAGCCATGCTGACCATTAGCTGGAGTCCCTGCTCTGTAATACAAATGGCAGTGTCTTTGGTCAAACTTCTTAGTGGATTTTGTGTATCTATTTATTATTGAAAATGACAATGTAAACAACTATCTTGTTATATTCAGCAGCGAAGAGTAGTACTGGAAACAGAAATTATTAGTACTCAGTAAGTGGTAGTTGCTTATACTTAAGGATGGTAAACTAACATACATCTAGTCAAGGACCCATACCTCGTGTAGAGATTGCTGAGTGGCATTCATGTCAGAAAATTAAAATTCTCATTCTTCTGCACACAATGGAGTATTATTCAGTCATAAAGAACAAGTAGGTCTTTGCTGGGCATCTGACCAGAGCAGCACTCAACAGGAGCAGCCCAAGTATGGCATTTTTTAAAAGATCCCTGCTGAGTTAGTGGCTTAGTGACTCCAGGCCCTCCATCAGTCATACACACAGAAAATTTATAGCAAGTGTCCTGGGACTATTTGCAGAAACCTAGCCGGCTGTGTGTGGGAAGAACTGAATCAGATCCATTCAATATTTAGCAAGGTAAAAATCTGGTTAGAGCCAGAGTCGGAAGAGTAACAGACACAAGTCCCCCAATAAACTTAGTGTTCCCTAGTGAGTACTGCCAGATGCCTGTGTCCCAAGCCTCCTGCAGTTCATCCTTTGGGGTTCCCATCTCACTGTTTGAGTCGCTGGAGATTAGGAATCTGGAAAACACTGGAAGAGAATTTAGATTTGGGAATTGGTTTGCTGTCACTTCTACTTCAGGTATGGGTTCAAAAGGATTAGGTTCTGGAGAGAGGCAACACTGCCCTTGCCCCCAGTTTCTCAGCAGATGGTGGTGGCTCTTCTATGGACATCTGTATAATCCTTGAGGTCACAGTATCCCCCAACATAGAGAGGACTTTATAATCTCTATAGAGATTATGCTTGGGCCCCAGATCCAAGACTGAGGTGGTAACCCTGGGTTAGGAAAGGCAATGAAGGCTAGCCAGAAAGTGATAGTTGAAGGCACAGAGAGGACCCACTGCTCTCTGATGCTTATGTCTAGGCTGGGATTGGCACATCAGGACTAGTGTCCAGGCTTTGGCATGCTGAAGCCTTGAAGCTGGGGTTTCTTTTCTTCCCTTTTAGGAAAAAAGATATTATTTTCTGCTATCTTCTTTTTTCCACCTCTAGACCTTCTTTTCCCATCTTTTTGGGCAGGCTTTCCCAAAGAAAGTAATAGCTTGCTTTGCCTGTGCAGTTGCCCCCTACAAGATGGGACTATTTTTGACTACCTTTTGCATTTCTTTACTTCTCACTGATCCCTCTATTACTTTCCCCTCTTCTCTCTCCCCTTTCCTCCATCAAACCAATACAATCACTTGATTGTCCTTCTGTATGCTGTGAATATAAGTTTCTCTTATTGGTAGATGAATAAAGCTATTTCGGCTAATAGATAGGCAGGATTTAGCCAGGTGGGAAATCCAAACAGTGACAGAGAAAGGCAGTAGGCAGAGTCAAGAAGATGCCATGTAGCTGGCAAGGATGCAAGAGTTCTGGCCATCACTGGTAAGCCAAGACCACATGGAGATACACAGAATAATAGAAATGGGTTAATAATTAGGAGAGGGCTAGCCAATAAGAAGCTTGAGCCATCGGCCAAACAGTTTATAATTAATATAAGCTTTTGTATGTTTATTTGGGACTAAATGGCAGGAGGACCATTTAGTCTCACTCTGCTTTCCCTTCCTATTCATACCCAATAACCAACATCTTAGTGCATACAGAACTATCAGTTTTCATTTACTTCCTAAAATGAATAGCATTTGATTATAATTGTTTTTATTTTACCATTACTGTATTTTCACAGTGGGCTAGCCTATCTCTGATAATGATTGCTTTTGCAAACACTATGCTACCTTCAGGGGAGAATAAGCCTGGTGCCTGAACATGTGGATAGGGGGTCTAACTACTAAGCTAGACTTGGAGTCTAGCAGAAAACAACACCATAACCTTACAACCCAGTCACTTTCCTATATTGGAAACACTTCAAATGAAAGAACAGGGATGATTTAGAGAGAAAAAAAAATCAAAGACTTAACTCCAGATGTGCAAGTATCAATGCAAAAATACAAGAAACATGAAAACTCAAGGCATTATGATTCCACCAAAAATCACTTATCCCATAGTAATGTTCTCTAAATGAGAGTAAATTGTATGAAATCCCAAATAATTAATTAAAAAGAACTATTATAAGTTATACAAAGATACCAAAGAGGACATAAATAAATGCCTGAATGAATTCTATGAGAACAAAAATAGCTAGAAGAAATAAAGGAGTTTGGGGTTAGGTAGACTCGTCTATGGGTATTTTGCCTATGTGTAAGTCTGAGCACCCTATGTGTGCCTGGTATACATAGAGGTCAGAGAAAGGCATTGGTTCCCCATCAACTGGAGTTATGGATGGTTGCGCACCATCATGTTGGTTGTTAGGAACTGAAACCAGGTCCTCTGCAGGATAAGCACTTTCAACTGATAAGCCACCAATCCAGCCCCATGAAAACATTTATGTAATAAACTAAAATATAATCCTACCTTTGGGATGAATTCTTGAATTCTTCTTATCAAACAATTTTTGTTTTGTTACTTTTGTCACTATTAGAGAAAAAACAAAATAAAACCAGCCTCACATTAAGAAGTAACAGAAAGGGCTGTAGAGATGGATTAATGGTTAAGCTTGTTGAGAAATTATAAGAATTAGAATTTGGGTCTCTGCACCCATCTAACAAGCTAGGAATCCTGTGCGTGAATCCCGGCTCTAAGTAGGATGGGGACAGGAAGAAGCCTAAGACTTGCTGGCTTCCAGCATAGATAAGAAAGCAAGGAGAAACCCCAATTCATAGGAACAGGCAGTGATAGGATACCACATATTTGCACATAGGTGTGCACAGCGCCTCTGGGCACACTTAAAACATATGCTCTTCAATACAAACACAAAGACACACAATCTTCTTTTCTTAAACATTTGACATAAGATACTTGGATGTGGTTGGCACACACCTGAATCCCAGCATTCTCAAGAGGCAGATAAAGAGGAGGATTGCTGTGACTTCAAGAACAGCCTGGGCTACACAGTGAATTCCAGGACAGCCTGGGCTCTGAACAAACATGGACTATGAATGAATAACTCCTCATTATTTGGAAGAAGCAACTCTTTAGGAAAAAAAATAATTGAAGGTGATACATGTTATAGGTATTAAGCACAAAACAGTACCCTCTTACTATCTTACTTTAAAAACGAACTTAATATAAAGGAAGCCTGCTAGCTGTCTACAATGAACAATCTGTTCTTCCACATTCAAGAGGAAGCCATAAAACAACACATCCTGGTAAAGCACACATGTCTCCTTTTCTAAAGGTACTTCAATCTGGACAGCTTTGGGTATGTGTGATCTATCTGACTGAAACTTGAGAAACAGTAGGAGGTTTATCTCTAAAATTACTAATATTAAAAATACAGGGGCTGGGGAGATGGCTCAGTGGTTAAGATCACTGGCTGTTCTTCCAGAGGTCCTGAGTTCAATTCCCAGCACTCATGTGATGGCTCACAACCATCTATAATGGAATATGGAATCTGATGCCCTCTCAGGTATGCAGACAAAACAGCCATATACATAAAATACATAATTAAAAAAAATCTTTAAAAATACATTAATCTTTCTTACTTAGCTCTCTGGTTTTCTCCACTTCTCTTTTTAAAGAACATGGCGCTAGGGAAACACCAATGAGATCTTCAAGTTGTCTGTTGTTCTCCAAAGCCTAAAAGAAAACTATTTTTAGTGAGTTAGTAACTTCTCTACAACTAAGAGATTATTTACAAAGGAAATATAATACAATGTATTTTTCATTAAAAAAATCTTAAATTAGGAAATTTGAGTTTTCCTGGTAAATCAAGTATACCAAGCCCAATAATGACTCAATAATACTTTTTTTTTTTTTTTACCTTTTTTTGGTGGGGGTGCTGGAGGTTTGAGACAGGGTTTCTCTATGTAGCCTTGGCTGCCCTGGTCACTCTGTAGACCAGGCTAGCCTTGAACTCTAGACATCTGCCAGCCTCTGCCTCCTGGGTGCTGGGATTAAGGGAGTGTATCGCCATGTTCAGTTGAGAGCAGTTTTTTTATTTTAATTATTATTTTTAAAAGACTTAAAATATGCCAGGTGTGGTGGTACACGCCTTTAATTCTAGCACCTGTGAGGCAGAAGTAAGTGGATCTCTGAGGCCAGACTGGTCTACATAGTGAGTTCTAGGACAGCCAGAGCTACATAGTGAGACCCTATTTCAAACAAACAAACAAAAAAACCTTAAAAATAATCTATAAAATTACTTTTAAATGCAAAAATTCAGCTATTACTAAAATATTACAGTTAATCATTAAGTATTATAACCAAGGAAAGTCCCATGATAAATAAATATATACTCTGCAAACTCTTGACTAGACTGGATTCTCAAATACAGGGCTTCTTTTTTATCCTTTTCAAAACAAATAGTAGAGGTCTGAAAATTATATGCGAGAAAAGTGCAAACCTGTATACTTCTTAAATTTTTCATTATCTCCATGGTTTTTTCTGATGATCTCTCAATTTTAGATAGCAACACCATGAATCTAGGAGTGAACAGACAAGCAGTTACTAAGAGTAAGCACGTAAATGTGTCAGGTCACAGGGCTGTAATTCTGTTCCAAGAGGCAGACTCTGTTCTCTAGCCGTTTCTTCAAAGTCAAAGAGGTAACATATGTAAATGCTCTCCCTTCAGTTTGACTTTCCTTTAAAAACACAACACACATTATTAATTGTCCTCCCAGAGTCTACTCTATTCCTACTCCATTTCCACCTGGGTGGGGGGACATAGCTGTGTCTTTCCTTTCTATACACGCTTCTTCAGTTATATTCCATTGTTCACTTACCATGGTTGATCTGCAGGGCAGTGCTGCCTAGGAACTTAAAATAATGGCTTGAATAGTTCAGTGTGAAAAAGATACAAAGGCAATCTCTTAAATTTGAAATAAGGGGAAAATAATTTAGTTACCTTCTACCTTGTGATCCTACTAATCAGTAGGTTGGAAATTTTTTTCCTTAGGATTTAAACTTCATTTTTCTAAGTTTAAATAAGTGGTTCTCAACCTGTGGTTGTGACCCCTTTGGGAGTCACATTATCAGAGAGCCTTCATATCAGATATTTACATTTCAAATCATAACAATAGCCAAATTACAGTTATGAAGTAGCAACGAAATAAGTAAGAGTGAAAGTAAGATTTACAGAAGTAAGAAAAAGTAAAAGCCCAGAGGCAAAAGATAGATGGGATAATTTAAGAAAGCTGGCTAGAAACAAGCCAAGCTAAGGCTTGTTGCTCTTGCAGAGAATCTGAGTTCAGTTCCCAGTACCTACATAGTTGCTGACAACTGCATGTGGCTCCAGGTCTAGGGACTCTGCCACCCTCTTCTGACTTCCTCAGGCACCAAGCACACATGTGGTGCACAAACCTACATGCAGGCAAAACACTCATACACATAAAATAAACAAATCTTTAAAAAAAATCTTAAAATGTATACAGAACAGGCTTAACAGTAAATCTACAGTGATCCCAAAGTACCAAAGCCTGATGAACATTCTGTCAACAGGCACCTTGAACTTCCTTTTTCCATGTCTCTCTACACTACATGACAGTTACAAAGGAAAAAACGATGAGGGAATATTGCCACATTTTAAGATAATTTAGGACTAACCCATAAATGTGTTCCATTTAATTTGAGATTTTAAAAAAATCCAAGTCTTTATAGAGGTTTTCCAAAATAGGAAGAGAAACATTAAAAAAATTAAAAATAGATCTTAGACAAGAATGAAAAATTTTAAAGTAAAAAAATAATTTCAACATGAATTATTTTTATGTATTTCAAAGTATCTCCACTTAAATTCAGTAATTTTAATACTAAATGGTGTGGTTTTCAGAAATAAGTGTTGACAGAAAGTAACAAAATGAATTAATTAAATTCTGGCCTCCAATCCCACGGTGAACTTCTACACCTAAAGACAAAACATTTATCATACACATAAAAATAAATTAATCTTTTAAAAATATTGAAAAAAAAAGTAAAGAGCAAAACACTTTGCTGGGTTGGTGACATGGCTCAGGGGATAAAGGTTCCTGCCAACAAGCCTAATGGCTTGAGTTCAATCCTTGAGACCCACTTGATAGAATCAGAGAATTGAGTCCTGGAGGCTAGCCCATGACCTTGATGGCACACCATGGAAATATGCTTTTCCCTCACTCGCGCGCTTGCACACACACACACACACACACACACACACACACACACACACACACACACACACACACACAATAAATAAATGTAATAAAGAATTTTAAAGAGCAACACTTTGTAAATATATTTGTGGAGTAGGAAAGCATAGAACATGATGGCAGGGAGAATGTGGGTTGGGAAGAGAACTCCTAAAGCAAGTAAAGAGGTACTGTAGGAGATGCAAGCAAGGCTTCCTAGAGGGACTACCTTCGTCACTACAGTGTTTAAACAGCACTCAGGTGCTTGCTTTGGCAGCACATATAGTAAACAGCACTCAGTAACCAGTACTAGTCACACTATGAAACAAATGACATCTGATCTGATGTGAAATTTCCATCCACTTAGAGCTCATGGTCTTATGTTGTAAGTTAATATATCCTCCTCAACTTAGAAATGACTTATGTCAAAAACTATAGCTTCTAATGCTATTGGAATGGAAAATGCACCTGAGTTCTGTTGTGGGATATTTGATCGTATTCTGACACTCCCGAGACTTCTACTCAAGTTCACCTTGACTCAGAGGGCAGTGCTAGCTACTAGCTGACAGAATTAGCCATAGAGGTTTTGGAGGACCCAGGACATATAGAGACACAGAAGTCGTAGGGAGGGGCTGAAGAGAGCTCATCCCTTTTAGATAGAGGTAGGGGAGAGAGAGGATGTGACTGGTAGCTGGTCCACTGATTTTCTGATCAATTAGGTTCTTACCCCCGATATCTGAGTTTTTATTGATAAAGAATAACTAGATAAATGCTTCATTGTTCCAAATAAATGATTTAGAAAACATTTTTCAACATAACTCATTTCTAAGTTGAGGAGGATTTATTAACTTACAACATAAGACCATGAGTTCTATGAGGGTCAAAACTTCACTTTACACCTATGGTATGGCACACAGAAATAACTTTGTAAATGAGATGAACACATAAGCCACTTTAACTAATTCAATTATTTCAGGATGGCATGAATAAATATCATTTCTAGGATACACAGGATTTCTGTAAAAAATACTTTCATTCAAAGGCATGGCGGCAGGCCAATGTGAACATGGTTGGGTGTTGTAATTTGAGTTGCTTAGAGCCCTCCTTATCACTCACCACCATGCTTGTGGGATTCTGCTCCCTTTCTATCCCCATGTGACTGTTAAATGGAGGTTTCTTTAGTTTGACCCCAAACTGGTCTATGTACACCGGCCCAGACCTAGGGTCAATTAGTATTCAAATCAAAGCATTATACATTCCCACTATATAAGCACTGCAAGACACTACAAATATTTTCCTTAACAACAAAGAGTTAAAAAAGAAAATCATATAAAAGAAATAAATGTGTAAACAAAATGATTCAGCCCAGTATAAACTAATTTACAAAAATAAATGATTTTTCTTAAACTGTTAGTTAAAAGAGGTCAAGCTTTTCCTGAACAATATTCAGTGACTCTAACTTCAAAACCAGGCTTACTCATCACTGTCTTTTGCTGTGGATTTCTTTCTTGTAGGTGAGCTGAGGTTATTCTGCTTTCTCTTTCCTGTATGAGTGTAACAAAGAAAAGAACACAACATTAAAGAGACAATTGGCCAAATTTCAATCAATTAAATTGCCAAATTTTAGCTACCTATAATTCCACCGCTTGAAAGACAAAATAGGGAGGACTGACACACATCGTTTGACACAACTTAGAAACCAAGCACACAACAAAATGAATTTAGATAGCTGAATATTAAATAGGAAGGGAAAAAACAAAAGGGACGTAAGAAAGAAAAGGTATCCTATTTTGTTTTTTTATTTCCTTTCCTTAAAAAAAATCTTGACCGAGGGCGTTGGTGGTACACGCCTTTAATCCCAGCATTCAGGAGGCAGAGGCAGGCAGATCTCTGTGAGTTCGAGGCCAGCCTGGTCTGCAGAGTGCCAGGATAGGCTCCAAAGCCACACAGAGAAACCCTGTCTCGAAAAACAAAAAACAAAACAAAAAAAACAAAAAAAACAAAATCTTGACCAAAAGTTATAATTTCTTGAATTTTGTACTATACTATGTATACTCAGTAAAGTTCCAAAATCAAATATTAAAATTGCTTCCTTAATTTGTAATTCATTTTCACATCTTAGACCCAGAAGCCAGCAGCAGCCTAGATTATTTTACCAGAATTTTTATCAGGTGTCCAATGCCTTTCTAAATATTTTTATTATTGCATAATAATAAACCATATATTGGCCAATATGTGGGTCAATAAAAATCTTGGTTTTCTTAGGTCTTTAAGTACTTTTCAATCGCCAAGTAGGACTTTAAATATCTCTCAAAATAACATGTTTCAGTTAATAGTTATCTTCCTTCATTTCATTCTACTTAAAAAGTAGACACAATATATGCCTGGCTTGGTGGCACACACCTCTAATCCCAGCACTGGGGAGACAGAGGCAGGTGGATTGATGAGTTCAAGGCCAGCCTTGTCTACAGAATGTGTTCCAGGCAACAAGGGCTACACAAAGAAAACCTGTCTAGCAAACCAAAGTCAAGCAAACCCCCAAAAGGAACACAATGTATATTAGAGAACATAGCCCAGCAGCAGAAACAAGTGCAACAAGAAGGAAGGTGAGAATTTATGCTCAAAAGTTGCCCCCTGACCTCCACATTCCAACTGTGAGACTTGAACATGCAAAATCTAAGAATAAGGGTTTGGGGTTTATTATCAAGTCTAATGAGAGGCAAGTAGAAATAAAATGTTTCTAAATGTTATTTAAATTTCCCATTATTCTTTGTACAATATTTTAAAAGGGGGAAATAGTAAAGGAGTTCATGACCTCATCTGAATTTTAAATTAGTTTATAAGTTATATCTTCTAACATGGAACTTATGATATCTGATAATGATTAGGCTTTCTTAATTCTAAAGCAAGCAGAAGACTTATTAGGGTTGGGAGTATGACTACAAAGGATGTGATCTAATTCAGGACATTAAATTTTTATATGTGATATGTGTGTCTATATATGTATATACATATATACATACATACATATATCTACCAGAGTATTAAACAACATGTCCATTTTAATTAGTAACTAGAGTCAATCAGTAATCAGCACATAAGTAAAACCTAGAATATTGCCAGCACCTCAGAAACCCTTGCAGTTTGACTTTTTAAAAAAGAGCATACTTAGTACCTATAATATGATAATTACCCATAATTACCCATAAATGTCAAGTGAAATCATGTGACCCATCTTTTTATGGGCAAAAGGAATGTTCCCTTAAGTCCATATTTAATTTCAATATGGAAATTGAGTATGTATCAATTTAAAATCTATTGAGATATTCATACAGAGATATGTAATTTCTAAGCTATTATTTTTTAATTAAGAAGATATATCAGGTATATAAAACTACAGACAACAAACATAATATTAATAGCTTTAGGATAAAAGCATTTGATTAAACTAAAAATCAAAGACACTCAAAAGCTTAATATCTTGTGTGTTTATTTAAATAAATTAGGTAAAATGAGACCAGTTTCTAGTATATGCTTAACATCCAATAAACATTAAACAATAAAATATGAATTAGGTTAGTCACAGCATATCTAAAATGCATTTTAATAAATTTGAGCCTATTTAAATTTTTATATTACAGAAAATGGTATGTCATTGATTCATGACCTTTAACAATATAAAAAAATTATTAAGCATATGAAATTGACACTTGTGCCTTTAAATATAACAGTAAACTACTAGAGAACAACAAATATGTATAGTCAGAATTAAATGAAGAATATTTTAAAATAATGATTTTATATAAAAATTAGATTATTCTATAAGGAAAAATTTCATAGCTGAAATACAATAGATGTAAACTATGTAAACATATACTAGATGTGGGTAAAGCAAAATGGACAATATGGATAAAAATAACATTTAGAAGTACCCCTCTTAAACTGCAGTGTGGCAATACCTGAGTTATATGCCCTTTAATTTATGCACATGATGGATAGCTTGTTAAGGGCATATCTGTAACCATTATAATTGATAGTAGCTGAAGGCAGTCAGGCCATAATTTCTATTTAATGGATGGGATAGTAAGGGAACAGCAGTAGCATTTTAAAATAAGTGTCTACAAAGTTTACATTTATGTCCAAAGTAACATTCACATTCTAGCTTTTCCTATGTTAAATTCCTTGAAAAGCGAGAAAAATCCAGCTGCAACAAGAGCTATATATTACTAAATCAAAATCTTGATCTAACCAATAACTAGAAGAATCTTACCATAAGTGGAAAAGAATGTTCAACTAACCATTTGATGGTCTGTTTCCACACTCTTGTTCTTTGCGGGTAGTAGGAGAAGAAAATGGGCTCATTTGATAAGTTCCAGTTGTTGGAGAATAAGCTGTAATACTTTTCTTCCTTCTGATTTTTGAAGGACTAAATGACTAGAAATAAATAATAATTTGGAAGAGAAGTACTTACTTTTAGTTACAGATCTTTGAAAATACCTTAAGTAACTCAGAAAAATGAAAATTAACACCACTTTTCTTGCTCTTTCTTTCAGATTTTGAATGTATTTATCACCTTCAAAGTGAGCATTATTCCTCTCAAATGAGGTAGATATTTCAGATCTCTGCAACAATTAGGGCATCTCAATCTGATATTTATGAAAATTTGACATGAAACATTACTAACTTCTGATATGTGTCCCAACAGCTTTATAGATGAGGAATCTGGTCAGCATATTCTCACTGCTAATATGCAATATGTAATGTATAATTATGGAGCCAGACCAGGAAACTCTAAGAGATGCTTCTTACTAAGGCCCACAAGGAAATCCTAGTAAAGCTTAGTGCTCTCCTCAGCCGACCCACACTTCCCTGCCAATGTTCTGCCTTACGAGTAACAAGTCAGTGTCCAAAAAACCAAGCCTACCACTTATGCCCTCTTAAGCATTTGGCCTGTACTGCACAACTCCCTGAAGCTTTCTCCTTTGTATTCTAAGCAGTATGTATTTTGGTAATATTTTACAT